GAGGAGGAGGGAAAAGCATCCCCCACAGGGGGGTGGTCACGTCACAATACCTTCTTCTCCAGCTCTCCATCCTGTCGGAATTTGGAACACGCACACACAAAAGTGCCCGGCATGTCATGTTTTCCCAGTTATCAGGCCACACTTCAAACCATGGCGGCCATGGGGCATCCAGGTCCCTTAACCACTAGACTAAGGGACTAGCCCCTATGGGTTTTTTTTCTTCATGTAAAAAAATCATTGCAACATTTTATAACATCCTGTGGCATCTAAAAGATGTCCACATCAGCTGCCGTAGCTGCCAGCATGTCTGGAGCTGGTGTGCAGTTCTCAAAACTCCTGTAGGCTTGGCGTCCATGTAAGGCAAATCAGGAGACAATAATAATACTCAGCAGAGTTCACACTCTGAGACAGGAAGTTCCAATAGGCTGGAAGAGAAGTAAACTGGGGGGCCAGCAAGTGCTGCTCTGGTTAAGCTGCTGGACTCCCAAGTGGCAGACTGTGGTTCAAGTCTTGGCAGCTTCTATCTCATTTTCCTCCTCCATCTCTTTCTTTCTCTAGTGAGCACACATGCTCTATGGCAAATTTAAAATAAGTAAATAAATAAAACTAAGTAGATCATTCTAAAAAGAAGGAGAAGAAGAAGTAGTAAACTGTAGTAGTAGTAGTAGCCAACTGTTTCCAAAAGTTATTTAAGGTTTTCCTGGGTCACCAGTCATTCTGATATTTGAATACCAGAATAAATACTGACTTAACATTGCTTTCATTTATCTCAGTATGCCGTGGCCAGTATTTTATCATAATTGTGCTAGTTGGTGCTCCTTGCTGTTCGCATCATTAGTGTAGTGTGAGGGTGTTGTTCACGTCACCTAGCTAAGGCATACAGGAGACGTCTGTGCTGTTTTACTCAGAGAGTGCAGCTGGGACCCTCAGTGTTCTCACTCTGAGCCTGTGTGAAGGTGTGCAGGAATTCCTGAGGCAGGCCCTTCCCTCATTTGTCCCTGGCTTCTGCACAGGTGGATGTCCTTCAGGCCCGAGCTGACAGGGCACTCCAGTGGAGCTTCATAGCTTCATGGTCATTCTGAGACCAGCAGCATCTGCCTTCTCTGGAAGATTGCTAGCAATGGTGACTCTCTCCAGACCCCTGAAGCAGAATTTCCTCTTGATCAGTCATTCCAACCTCTGGAGCACATGTTAGAACACAGATCCCTGCCACTCCCGCTGGCTGATGTTCAGTGTCAGGGGGTTGAGGATGCCTGTGCTGCAGCTGCAGGAACAGGGACCGCCCTTTGGAAAGCACTGCTGTCGGAAAACTGGGTCTTGTACTGGTTTGCACATTGGAATCACTTGGTGAGCCTGATGCTTCAGTCCCACCTTCACAGATGTTAAATGACCTAGCTAGGGCAGGTGCTGGTACGGAGATGTTTCTTTTAAAGCTACCCTGGTGGGGCCAGAAGGTGGCATGGTGGTTAAGGTATTGCACTGCCACAGAGTTGACCATGGTTCAAGGCCAGACCGGTGACCTTAAAATCATACCAGGCATATGAGTGTGTCTGTCCAAACTCCTGAGAGGAGAATGGAGAAGGGATTGTGGCATGGTCATCCCCACTGGGGGTGATTTCTCACTTTTCCTGTTATTGCCTTTCTCCAGTGAGCACACTTGCCCTATGGCAAAAACCCAGAACATAGCTCTCCTGGATCAGAGGATAGTATATAGATCGAACTTTGAGAAGTCTGTATGCTCCACGCTCAGAGCTTACATTGGGAGAGAAACAAATTTGGATCTAAACCATGTCCCTCAGTGACTGGATGATCTCGGCTGTTTGTCTGGGACTCAGGGTGAGCACCTGGTTTTACAGGGCTTTCCACCATCCAGAACATATATACCCTCATTCCCAAAACCTTGGGCCAGCATTATTAGCTGTTCCTTCACCTGTCCACGAAATTCCTGGAGCATCTGCACGGAATCAGGCCTCGTTCTGTTGCTAGAAATACACCATTGAACGAAAACTTGGAGCTGACATTTCATTTTCATTCAGCCTGTTAAAATAACTGCTGTCTGGATTGAGATGTACTGGAAAATGCATACATGGAGATATATTAAATACATTCACCACTGTGGGTAAATAAATACATATAATGTATCTTTCTTTCTCTAGTGAGCACACATGCTCTATGGCAAATTTAAAATAAGTAAATAAATAAAACTAAGTAGATCATTCTAAAAAGAAGGAGAAGAAGAAGTAGTAAACTGTAGTAGTAGTAGTAGCCAACTGTTTCCAAAAGTTATTTAAGGTTTTCCTGGGTCACCAGTCATTCTGATATTTGAATACCAGAATAAATACTGACTTAACATTGCTTTCATTTATCTCAGTATGCCGTGGCCAGTATTTTATCATAATTGTGCTAGTTGGTGCTCCTTGCTGTTCGCATCATTAGTGTAGTGTGAGGGTGTTGTTCACGTCACCTAGCTAAGGCATACAGGAGACGTCTGTGCTGTTTTACTCAGAGAGTGCAGCTGGGACCCTCAGTGTTCTCACTCTGAGCCTGTGTGAAGGTGTGCAGGAATTCCTGAGGCAGGCCCTTCCCTCATTTGTCCCTGGCTTCTGCACAGGTGGATGTCCTTCAGGCCCGAGCTGACAGGGCACTCCAGTGGAGCTTCATAGCTTCATGGTCATTCTGAGACCAGCAGCATCTGCCTTCTCTGGAAGATTGCTAGCAATGGTGACTCTCTCCAGACCCCTGAAGCAGAATTTCCTCTTGATCAGTCATTCCAACCTCTGGAGCACATGTTAGAACACAGATCCCTGCCACTCCCGCTGGCTGATGTTCAGTGTCAGGGGGTTGAGGATGCCTGTGCTGCAGCTGCAGGAACAGGGACCGCCCTTTGGAAAGCACTGCTGTCGGAAAACTGGGTCTTGTACTGGTTTGCACATTGGAATCACTTGGTGAGCCTGATGCTTCAGTCCCACCTTCACAGATGTTAAATGACCTAGCTAGGGCAGGTGCTGGTACGGAGATGTTTCTTTTAAAGCTACCCTGGTGGGGCCAGAAGGTGGCATGGTGGTTAAGGTATTGCACTGCCACAGAGTTGACCATGGTTCAAGGCCAGACCGGTGACCTTAAAATCATACCAGGCATATGAGTGTGTCTGTCCAAACTCCTGAGAGGAGAATGGAGAAGGGATTGTGGCATGGTCATCCCCACTGGGGGTGATTTCTCACTTTTCCTGTTATTGCCTTTCTCCAGTGAGCACACTTGCCCTATGGCAAAAACCCAGAACATAGCTCTCCTGGATCAGAGGATAGTATATAGATCGAACTTTGAGAAGTCTGTATGCTCCACGCTCAGAGCTTACATTGGGAGAGAAACAAATTTGGATCTAAACCATGTCCCTCAGTGACTGGATGATGCTCGGCTGTTTGTCTGGGGCTCAGGGTGAGCACCTGGTTTTACAGGGCTTTCCACCATCCAGAACATATATACCCTCATTCCCAAAACCTTGGGCCAGCATTATTAGCTGTTCCTTCACCTGTCCACGAAATTCCTGGAGCATCTGCACGGAATCAGGCCTCGTTCTGTTGCTGGAAATACACCATTGAACGAAAACTTGGAGCTGACATTTCATTTTCATTCAGCCTGTTAAAATAACTGCTGTCTGGATTGAGATGTACTGGAAAATGCATACATGGAGATATATTAAATACATTCACCACTGTGGGTAAATAAATACATATAATGTAAATACATGCGCGTGCGCACACACACACACACACACACACACACACACACACACCAGCACAGAGTCTCACTCCAGGCTGCGCTTAATAGATTTTGATGTTGCTCAATTGACTCTCCCAAATCTTCATGAAATTCTGACCTCCCAGGTAACATTTGAAGTGCTGCCTACATGCAGATGAACCTGCCCAGGTGACTATTTACCCACTGTATGCCAAAATGGGTGGAGGGGGCATAGCTGAAACTTGTCATGGATAGCGTCCTTTCAGTCCCCCATCTTATGCGCTTCCTCCTCCCCACCCAACTCCCACCACTACTTTTCCAAACCATCCTCCCCAGCTTTTCTCTCACTAAGTACTGTCCTTCCTCCTATTCACACCAGCCTGCTCTCAAACACCTTTCTGCTCCCCTGGAGCTGGAAGATCAGAGCCCTCCTGCCCAGAAGACATTGACCCTGTAGTGTTTTCATTCCAAAGCAAATTTGTCTCTGCAAAAGATTCAGGGGAAGTGCCCCCCCCCACTGTCTTTCCAGCCTGACCCAGCCCTTGTCCTCTTTCCTGTTCTTATAAATAAGTGAGTGGCATTTAGTTTTCAGTGTGAAAACACAGCTGGGGGGGG